TCTGGGTTAGGAGTGTAAGCCGATAGTTGCTCAATAAGATCAACAAATTGATCGACATATTCTTGAACCGAGGCGGTTTGCTTAATGTGGAACAGTTGGCGGATGAGAAGTTCGTGTTGATCGCGGTAGAAATGCTCGCGGACCAAAGCACAGAAGTCTTGCCAACCAATGTGTTCGAGACGGTGAGCAATGGATTGAATCCAGCACTTGGCTGCACCGGTGAATTGCATTGTAGCCACGCGAACCCACATGGATTGATCAACGAAGTACATATCAAAGTAAGAATGGTCCTGAGTGATCCATAGTTGGGGGTAGTACCATCGAATTGGGGAAAATGGATTTTGGGTAACTGGCCGAGGTGGGAGGATTGGGGGTGGAGTGGGGATGGATCTGGCGGTTGGGGAGGAATGTGGGCATTTGCGACGTTGAAGGTAGGGTTGGGATTGGGAGGGGGATGGGGATATGGAGCTGAATGAGGAGGGGGATCTGGGGAGCGGCACATACCATTGGCCGGGGTTGGAGCTATGGTTGTGACCAACCCATAGACCCTCTCCCGTGTAGTCGATTCGACGCGGTGCCCGCTGGGCCAGTCGGTCGGAGTCCCGATAGATGAGCGCGCGCGACCAACTCCGGCTGCCGCAGGGTGCCCGATGTAGGCAACTCCTCTGCAGCTCGACCACCCCTCGACCAGAGGTTCTTCACCTCTGAGCGAAGATCGTAGATCAGGCCGTCCACCTCCGGGCGCCAACTGACTAGCTCCTCCACAGCGGTCTCGACGGCGGCTACCCTGTCATCGCGCTCGTCGTTGATCTCGTGGATGCGGATCAGCTCGAGATCCACCATCCGCTGCTCGAGGTCAGAGATTCGCTCGTCGAAGTGCTCCCCCAGTTGTCGGCGACGACGGCGGAGGTGTACTGTGCCGAGGCAAACTCCTCCGGCGACTTGATGCGACGGTGCACCGCCTCGTCCCGCTCCTGGAGCTCCAATGTCACCTCCTCGAAGCGGCGCTCCCACCGCTCCCATCGACCGCTGGAATCGGCGCGGAGGTTGTCGATCCGCTTGAGTACTTCGTCGAAGAGGGAGCGCACGTTTTGATCCATGACTCCCCTGGCGCGCTGAAGACGGGTGAAGTGGGGGTGTGGCTCCGGCGGATCCAGCCCTTGGAGGCGCCGGATCGATGGCTCTGGTACCAAATTGTCGGTGTCGCTCGCTGCGGCGGCGCCGGGGAACTAGAAAAGGGGATTCGAGGTCCGCCGGACATGCTGTCGACCGGTAGAGTGATTTAGGGTTTGTCTTTACAGAGTTGTTGTTGGTTGCCTCTCTTCGTCTCCTCCTTTCACTCTTCTACTGCTCTCGGATAGGTTTGGGCTCACAGATGTTACAAACCCAATCTAGACCGGTCACTCTCTTGTTCACGAGCCTCATGCGATTTCTCTTCCTGGGCTCAGGGTTCACTGGGTGTGGCGTCGTGACAGAGAGGGAGATAGATCGCGCCGGAAAGGACGTGATGCGCCACCCCCAATAATTCTCGGTCGTACCCATCGCTGTCAGTGTCACCTCCACTGTTGTCCGTACATTCACGGTTCACGCGCAGGGAGGGAGGAAACGGAAACGGAAATGGCTGCCTGGTTCTGGTTCTGGTTCTGGTTCTGGGATGGAGGAGGAAGCGATCAGCCGATCAGATAATGGGCAGGGTCCAAGGTTGGTGGCCTGTCAAATTCTCCGCTGCAGCGGCTAAAAAAAATCGACAGATTTGGGCGAACAGGGGCTTGTTATTGTTCCTCGCCTAGATTTGCACTTGCACAACCAGCAGCATAAATCATGTTCGCCTGCAGCGTCTTGCACAAACCGTCAAAGATTTTTTTTTTTCAGATTGCGCAACGGTGAAAAAGAAATCACACAGCAGAATCTTTTTCGGTCGCCACTCATTGAAGCACTTGTAGGTCCCCTTGTTGGGTGCACCGGAGATGAGACTGTGCCAAAGGCGACAAGGTGCAAAGGGGTCCCTGAAGCACATAGTTTATGTTATCGAGAGAGAGACCCTCTATAATGGTGTGGATGATAGCAGCTTGATCCGAGATTTGGTTTATGAAATGAGAGCTCACAAAAAGAGGAACCGCCAGTGCACGCAAACCAGGTACGCTGTATAAATAATAAAGTCGCATACAAAAGAGGAGGGTCATACAAAAGAGGAGGGTCATACCTAAGATTAAATGTAGGTAAAAAAATAACTAATTATACCTGATCGAAATCTGGGAAAGACAAAGTTTATCAAATACAAACGGGTCTCTCTGCATCAATGCACCGTGATGTGAGCCCCTGATCGAAATCTGGTAAAGGAACGGGTCTCTCTGCATCAATGCACCGTGATGTGACGCGCAGGAATCAAGCAGGTGTGGAGAAACATACTCCCATCGATTGTCACTTTGTCAGTGAGTGAAAATTGATGTTCATGTACTCGAGAACATTGAAACAAACATTATCGCTCATAAAAGTGGGGGAAACCAGGAAACAGCAAACTTCTTCAGCAAGAGGTGGTCCAGTTAGTTTTGGACGAGTTGTTCCAATGCTTTCTATGAGAAACTAGGGTGTACAGAACATCACCAGAAGTGTAAATTAAATTAAGTGAAATGGTACATTATTTGTGCTGTAATAGAATGCAAGTAGGTGTTGCAGCAAACATCACCGGAGTCACCAAAGCCATAGCCCTAAAATGAAACCATATGGCGGAGCCCTCGCATTCGAAAAATGATGTTGCGTAGCCGCGCACAAGGACAGCCACAATTCAGGGACAACCATTTTCTGATCTTGATATGTAACTGGATCTGGTTGTGTGTCCGTTCCCCTGATCGTCCGCTCCAACCAAACTGATACATGATTACAAATCATTAGTACCACAATTGCAGAAAGATGTGAAGGCAGTTTACAAAAGAAAACATTTTGGGCAAAAAGCACAAACTTTTAAATCCTTAATTTCTCGGTGAGAGGCATCATGTTCTGGGCACAAAATTAGGTCAAACTGGAATCTAACAGATGAGATGATTGGGAAAATCACTGATAATGATAGTGGCATCTAGTACATTATCCAGTTATCTTGTAACTTCAGCCAAAACAGTCACACATATGTGTTGAACACTTGCAACTTGACAAACATGATAATTATGTTCAACACTAAGGCCCTGTTTGGTTGGGCTTTTGGCTTTGGCTTTTGGCCCCAAAAGCCAAAAGCTCAACCAAAGGGGCTGCTTTTGAAGGGTGCTTTTTCAGAAGCAGCTACTTTTCCGTAGTTCATTTTTGAAAGCTAGTTTAACCCTGCTTTTGGCTTTTGGCTTTCTGTTTTTCGAAATTGGTGGAATAAAAAGTTCTTCCATAGTTGTTTCAAGAGAGATATAGATTAAAGGTATATTTTATACTTGTTTAACCAAACAGCTTTTAGCTTTTCTACAGCTCACAGCCCACAGCAGCTTTTCCATAGCTCACAGCCCACAGCAGCTTTCTCCCACAGCCACAGCTCAACCAAACAGGACCTAAAAGGATGCTCAAACTTAAGAGCAAGGAAGAAGTTGCATGGCCAGAGCATATTCCATATGTTCAACACTGGATGGTAAGAAGCCAAATTTGTAAGCCAAGCTCATGATATGATACAATACAGAAAGTTGGAGGAGCCTACACGTAGACTTGTAGTGGTGGGGCTGAGTACATTCTAATCTTCTATGCTGAATATGCTCTGGTGCCATAGGGGAGCTTAAAAATGGATACAGGCCACAACTCCTATATTATGGAGTATGCTCTGGTCATGCATATATGTAACAAAACGCCAGCATGATTTAAGTAAGAGACTTTGTGTCAGTGCAACCTTAGCAACACATAACAAAAAGTTATTTGGAAGTCGTATTTCACAGACCGGTGCGAGAACCTGAGCAAACCAGCTTTACTTTCATAGTGAAAGGTCCAGAAAGTAAAAAAAATGATTTTCTAAAATAAATGTAGCTGCAGTGTTCCAATGAAGTTATTCTGCAACAGACTGGACGGCACTAAATGAAGAGGAATAAGAAATTCCAATTTCTACTAGCTTTATGGAGGCAGAGAGTCAGGTAAACATTGGACAAGGAACATGAAAGCAAGTTAAGCTTTTGATACTCAAGTATAGGCTTGCATATAAGATATATACGCATTCTATCATCATCCAGTCCGGACAAAGGAGTGATCCAGGAATTTTGGTGATTGTAAGAAGTGCATCTTGGTTTTCATGAAATTTATAGTATTCATTTTACCAAGTAACTGCATATGATTGCATTAAGAAGAGAGCTTAAAGTAGAACACACCCACACATACAGATGCACGGATTACCACAGATCGTTTTGAATGTGCCAATGTTTAATGTTTATTATCTATGCAACTGCTTCAGAGGATTAAACAAACAACAAAATAGCCAGTTTCACAAAAATAACATGACAAAGCAATGTTGGGGGCACCTAAAAATTCCTAAGAAACTGAACTCTTTTAAATGTTATAACGATGATCTACTGGTTAGTGGTTACTGGATCAGAAAAAAATTGATACGAGCTGAGCAACAAAATTCAAGTGAAAGTGTCAAACTACCCACTTTAGACTAATACATGCTAACTTCCCTCATTCAAAAAAAAAAAAAAAACCTTTCTTCCTAGGTTTTCTTGACTTTACAGCATATTCAGCATCACACTGATACATCTACTGGTACGTTTTTCCTTATAGATTGTCATATACACATTCATGGAGAAACTAGGTTTTTCATAAGCATCTAACTATAATGTTGTAAAAGAATATATTCTAAACAGAGTTTTGAATCTGCATACTGGAACCTTTGGGGAAAAAAAGATTTTATTGTGCTTCTATATTCAAGTGCGATGAAATAAGATATAGTAACAGTAGCATAGGACAAAATGATTAACAAAGAATGACGAACTGGTCCTCAGAAAAAGATCACCATCGATATGGCAAATGCTGAAGCAAAGATGGTATTATAAACGAGTAATGAAATCAGCATGGCTATGAGAATACCCAAAATTATGCTTAAGCCTGGAGCATTCGGTGCTTGGGCTTTTTGAGAAACTCGTTCTGAGCTTGAATAACCTCTTGTTCTTCAATCGCATCTTCTCCGGCAAAGTCAACCTCTTCTTCACCTTCTTCTCCTTCTTTGCTTTGACATACCTTTTGTCAATATTATACTCTCCATGTGCCACAGGTACACTACGAGCAACTACCTCCCTAAACAATGCATTAAAACGTTCCCCTAAATTGAGCCTAGCAAGCTTCTCAATGAGCAAGCTGTATGATTTTGAATCCATAATATGCCTTCCTATCAAGTTTATCTCCAAATCCTGCAGCCGCATCAGTGTCATCATGTCACCCCACCACCAACCCCACCCCCCACCCCCCACCCTTCTGAAGTTCGGGCAGCTTGGTACAAGCTCCTGATGAGGACCAAGTACGTGTCAGCATCTGGTGAGCAGCCCCACTCACCCATACGCCGGAACAGATTCATGGCATCCTCTGTCTTGCGGATCTTGCAAAAATTTGTGATCAGAACCCGAAATGTCCCTGCATCACGGGGAATGCCATTGGCTTCCATGTCAACTAAGAACTTCTCCGCTTCCATAGGCATCCTCAGTGGGTCCTTCTTGCGACAGAGCCGGCAGACACAATCAAGAACAGCATTGTATGCATCCAATCCTGGCTGGAACCCACCCCTGCGTGTCTCACCAATCAACCTTAGCGCATGGTCGAGCTTACCAGCATTGGCATAGCCAGATACCAGCAAAGTGCAGATATTGTCATCCGGGAAGATCTCGTTGGCGACCTTCTTGGCAGCACGCTCTGCGCGCGACGGGAAGCTCCCGGCAGAAAGCGAGGAAACCAGCAAAGTGAGAGACTCATGGTTACGGAGCTGCTCCGGCAATTTGTCGAGCACCTTGACAGCGTCCGTTGGGCGCCCGGCTCTGGCGAGCTGCTGGACATAGGCGTCGAGCGTGACGGGCCCGAGAGCGATGGGAAACTCCTGGATGAGCGCGCGCACGGCGGGGAAGTCGCGGCAGCGCGGGAGGTGGCGAACGACGGGCGCGAGCGCGCCGTCGGAGGGGTAAAGCGAGCGGTGGCGGACGACGGACGAGGAAGCGAAAGAGGTCGGCAGCGGCGCGGGAGGAGGCCGATGGCTTCGCGGCAGCTGATGCTGTTTTTCGGTGAGAAAAAAACTATCCCTGGCTGATAAGCAGTTCAAATGAATAGGAATAGGGAGGAGCCTCTTTATCTGCTTCTGCACTGTAAAAAAATAAATATTAATATATATGATTACATGAATCGTTGAACATATCTTTATAATAAAATTATTTATAGATATAAATGTTGCTAATATTTTTTATAAATTTGGTCAAAGTTTAAAAAAAATAACTGGTATGAATCTTATAACGTTTTTTCGATGGAGGGAGTATCTAAATATAAATATATTCATCACTTTTCCTCTGATTGCAACATTCCTGGCGTTATGAAAATTTGAAACTGACTCTAAGACATGTTAATCTAGCGACTGACTCTTTATTTTATTTTATTTTATTTTTGTAGAGATATACTCCGTATAAGAATTTGAAAGTTTTAAACGCCATAGCTGCTAGCTTAGCCTCGCTCCATTGGGAAGCTACCAACAATGTGAATATATATATATATATATAGACACACTGTTTAAGTATGAACTTAATAGCAGACGGAGCACTTTTGGCTAATATTTAGTTGCAGTGATCACTTCTTTGCATAGAGTAGGAATCGCGGTTTCTTCAACAAAAATCTTGTAACGAAATCCAACTTTCGCTACCCTTTTGCTTTACCAAGCACAAGTACCCAACTAAGTACAACAGAGAGTCAGTTACTGAGGTCTTCTCCGACGCTCCTCTCTGTCGTGCTGCTCAAACGTTCACGTCCCCACCAGAGCTCTATGTCACACCAAACTACAGCCTCGCAAAGTGTCGAACGAGGGTAGTGTTGTGGCGATGAAGCAGTCTGTTGCTCAGAACCATTGCGGAGAGACACATGGGAACTGATTTGAAGAACAGAGATAGGGAACCAGGGAGAGTGATGGGACCAAAAGGGCAGAAGATGGCAGTGTGCCTGTGTTGGGAAAATATTAGCTCCAATGATAGCTCTCGTACATGGAAGATAACTTTTTTGTTTGAGGATACTGGTTTTATTTAGATTGGGGTTATGAATCAGTATTTGGTATTGTAGCACTTTCGTTTGTATTTGATAATTATTGTTCAATCATGGCCTAACTAGGCTCAAAAGATTCGTCTCGTAATTTACAATCAAATTGTGTAATTAGTTATTTTTTATCTACATTTAATACTCCATGTATGTGTGTCCAGAGATTTAATGTGACGAAGAGAAAGTGAAAAAACTTATAATCTAAACAAGGGCTAGTGTTGTATGCCTGCGTTGCTGATTGCCCTAAAGCCTTCCCCAACGCTCAGTTTATTGTGCTACTCCAACGTCTATGCTTGCACCAGAGTGTCAGCCTCTTGCAGAAGAGCCTATAGCTTAATCTGACACAAAGGACCACGGCACAGAAAGAGACACATGGGAACTGATTTGAAGAACAAAGATAGGAGGTTAGGGATAGTGGTGGGACCAAAGTGGCAGAAGATAGCAGTATGCCTGGATTGGAAAAACATTAGCTTCAGTGGCATCACACATGGAAGGTAACTTTTTTATGAGGATACTAATGTGGTGCGCCCGTGTTGCTGCTGCCCTGGACGGTTTACACCTAACAACAAGTGCTCTGACATTGTCCTTCCAAAAAATTCTATCTCTACTTTTTTTCAAAAAAAAAAAAATCGTATTGCCAACACCAGGGTTTGGTGCATGCAATGTACCTCCTCAATGTGTCAGTTCTTGAGTTTTCAAATGGAGTTTTGAGGTAATTTTCTTCGCATACCTTATACAGATTCTCTATGCAGATGTTGAAATGGGTGTCGCAACCAATGGTGATACTTTTCTTGGTGGCGCAGATTTTTGGCCCCGTTCGCTGGTCTGAAACTTGACTGAAACTGACTGAAAAACATTGTTCCGGCTGAATTGTTGTGAGAGAAAAACACTGTTCCGGCTGAAAAAAGAAGCCGAATAAGCTGAATATAGGGGTAAGCCGAACAGGGCCAAATATGGTGCAGTGCTTGGAACGGTGGAATTTCGTAGGAATTGCGCAGGAATTTCGTAGGAATTGCCAGGAATTTCACAGGAATCAGTTCAATTTCATAGAAAAAATTTCTCTTGTTCCAAACAGGCCTTGAGTGTTTAGTTTTCCTCTGCTATGCAGACTGAAATCTACATCATGTTTATGGTGGAAAGCACTTGAACATGACCTTGATCAGAATTCAGAAATGAGTTTAAGTCTCTTGTGAGCAATCTCCTAGGGAGGATTCACATCCCTTTTCCCTTGTGTGAACTACCTCAAGGATGTTGATGAAATTTCTACGGTTGAAAGAGTTGCCTGGTCTTTGAAGGAAACCTTGTATGACCCTAATAGTGATAGGATTTATTTTTAACACTAATTGCACCAAATGAAAGAAGAAAATTGCACCGGCTACGGAAGGATTTATTTATCAACTGCACCAAATGGAAGAAGAAAATTGCACAGGCTCCATAAGGATTTATTTATCAAGTTCTTTGAACTGTGTAGATAGCTTTGAAATATCTTTTTCCATATGTCGTACCTCCTATCTTATAATTCATAATATTCGATACAAGAACAATCTATGCATGCTCCTTTTAAAGATCAAATATATTATGTTGTTGTACATCACATGTTCATGAGCAATTACTTGGAAAAAAGAAGAAGTTTGTGTGCACTATACATTCTTGATCTACAACTTACAATTTCTAGAATTTGGGTGATCAAATGGTCATTGGACATGGAGCCATGGAATATTTTCCCGTTATAACACACCGGTATGATCCTAGTACTACAATATTCCTAACCTTCTCTCCTTGGAGACAATATAATAAGTGCAACAACAACAAAAAAAACCTTTGTTCTAGAGCTTGCGTACGTGCCACCGTCCGAAAATTTCTACACCCAATTTGCCTCCCAATCCAATCAATCAAGCCGAGGACTGAGCTCGAATCGTTGGTCCTCTCAGGCAGGCCTCGCCGAAGGCTACACCTCGGCGCACCGCCGCGGCGCGAAGCCCAGCCGGTTGTTGTGCAGGTCGTAGACGACGTGGAAGTTCTGCTGCTGGAAGTTACCGATGATGGACATGCCGGTCCGCGGGGTGCCCAGGACCGCCAGGCACATGATGCCGTCCTCCAGCCGGATGAAGTAGTTCTCCGCGGGGAAGTCCCACACGGCACCGTCGGCGAACAACAACGACAGCTCCGGCACCTCCGGCCGCTCCACGCCGGACACGTTGTAGCACGGGCTCAGCACCGGGAAGTCCGGGACCAGAGGGTATGACCTGCTCATGCGATCGATGAAGGCTTGCCGGATCACCTGGTACGCCGGCTCCACGAAGTAGCTCAGCGTGGTGCCGGAGTCGATTATGGTGCCTCCGGATCCGCCCTCGCTGCCCACATCCCACGTGTCCGAGCTGATGTTGAGCAGCTCGCCGCCGACCAGCACGCCCTTGAGCTTCACGTAGTAGAACGTGTCCGCCGGCGACGACGCGGGCGCGAACGCCGTGTAATTGAGCTGCGGATGCGCCGCCGCCAGCGACAAGGCGTCGTCCTCCCCGAACACCACCTTGCTGGCGACGTCGCTGCCGTGTTCCACCAGGCAGTAGGAGAAGGTGTGGCCGTACACGGCGCGGAGCTGGGACGCGAACGACAGCGGGCCCCGGCCAAGGCCCAGCAGGCCCGCCGCGCCGTGGAAGAGGCCGCGGTTCCAGTGCCCGCACCCGAACACGACGCCGTCCACGCGGCGGGACGCGCCGGGGGCCGTGAGGTTGACCGTGAAGGACTCCAGCGCCAGGTCGCCCGTGGTGTTGGACTGGTCCCCGTACCAGTAGTAGTAGGGGCAGGAGTCCTCCCCGGGGCGGCGGCACGCCCTCGGCGCCGCCTCGGGCGGCGGCGCCACGAGGCCGCAGCGCTGGTCGCCGCAGGTGACGTTGCGGTAGGAGGAGGACGCGGCGGGGTCGAACACGGGGCCAAGCTGCTCGAAGCAGTCCAGGCACGGCGCGCACTGCAGCCAGTTGAGGTCGCTGCCGGTGTCCATGATCATCCGGAAACGCCGCGGCGGCGTGCCGACGTAGACGTCCATCAGGTACTCGCCGGACCCGACCGCCACGCCGGACTTCACCGTCGCCACCATCCGCTCCGACAGCGCCCGCCGCGGAGACGAAGACCCCGGCGTCCGGTCCCCGCCGGAGCGCGCCGCTCTCCGGTGCATCGTCTCGATGCGGACGGCGTCCTTGTTGGCCAAATCTAACAAGGACTCTTTCCGTGTCCCGCCCGCCGAGGTGGTGCGGCGGTTCATGTGCAGCTTCAGCGACGGGGACGGGCTCGCCGGCTGCTTCTGCTCACCCACCGCCGCCTCGGCTGCAGCCAGCTTGCTGTCGCAGCCGGTGACGGCGACGGCGGTGTTGAACGGCGGGAACTCGATGCCAAAGAGGGGTGACGACGAGTTGAGCTTCGCGATACCAGGCGAAGCCAAAACTGGCGAGACCAGGAGCAAGGACAGCAGCAGCGACCGCACCGCGAACTGCGCCATAGCTGAGCAGCGGAGCGATGGATGGATTAGTCGTCCTTCATGGAACAGCAGGCGGCGGCGGAGGGGCGGTGGTGGGAGAGGAGGACGGAGAGGGAGGTTGGTGGTGGTGGAATTTTGGGGGAGATATAAAGAAACGCGGGTCGGGAGGAAAAGACGACTGCGGCCTGCGTGGGTTTGGACCATTGAAAACACGGAGAGGTAGCGAGGCGGGGTTGGAATCGACGAATGTTGGGCGTTGGGGACGGTGGCCGTGGAAAAACGCGGCTTTGTCCACCAGGAAGACGACCAGACAGAGCTGCCAACAACGAACCCCTTTCCCAAGTAGTAGTAGTACTGTACTAGCGTGTGTGACGGGTCGCACCGGCAGCCAGGCCGCTTTCCAGGTGGCATTACGGTCACCGAAGACGGGCTTGTGGCGTATCCAGAGGTCAGGGACGGCGCGGCCCCGCCCCAAATCGCGACGAGAGGGAGGGATCATCGTCGACGTCGAGGACGCTCCGGGTCAACGACGATGGGACAGCGCGTCAACGACGATGGGACAGAAGCCCGTGAGCAGGAGCTGTAGCATGGCGTGGCTGCCGATGTATCCCTGCGGCTCAGCCGGTTAATATGATTTGTTGGAGAAAAACATACTCAGCTGATAAGTCGGTATCAAGCGAAGAGAGGCGGAGACCCTCTTGCTCACAGGGGCGGCGGCAGGGGCCGAGCTCGCAATCTCTAGCGACACGATACGCAGCTCAGGAATACGGCCTCGGCCCATGACGCTCCATAAGCCGGCCGCCGTGATGCATCGCTGGGTCACATTCTACGTAGGAGAGCAGGTGAAGCAAGAAAGCGCAGGCGCACGCACACGTACGGCATACGATCTTTCCACTCAACGTATTGCGTACAGAATTGCTGGCGATTTATATTTTAAATACCGAAAAGGGAAATCGAGGAGAGGGTGGACGACTGGACGTCGACATCAGGACTTCAGGAGGAGGAGGGAGAGGACGAAGGCGACGACACCTTGGGTTTGATCTGAATTCTCTTCTGCACTTCTCTGCTGCGGATTGTGTTGTGTGCGGGCTTCTCCTGCTCTCTTCTTCATTTTTTAAAAAATCCACACCCAGTCTCCTTCGCCCTCTTGCTGTGCGCCGGTGAAGCCTTTAGCCTCCCACAGCTCCACTCTACTACTGCAAGAGCAGGATGCAGGTGCCTTTATCCTTGTGCTTGGTTGCGCCCATCTGTCGAGCTGCCGCGCACGTGCGGCTTGCCCTCTCATACTGTACTCATCGCACCGTGACTTGACGCGTATGAATAAGCAGGTGTGGAGAAACATACACCTATCGATTGTCACTTTCTCAGTGAGTGAAAATCGATGCTCATGTAGAAGTCTCGTGCACTCGAGAACATTAAAAATTACATCTTCGCTCATAGAAGTGCGGGAAACAGGGAAACAGCAAACGTCTTCAGCAAGAGGTGGTCCAGTTAGTTTTGGACGAGTTGTGGCAGGCTTCCAACGCTTTGTATGAAAAACTAGGGCGTACAGAACATCACCAGAAGTGTAAATTAAATTAAGTGAAATGGTACATTATTTGTGCTATAATGGAATGCAAGGTGTTGCACCAAACATCACCGGAGTCACCAGGCCATCAACCCTGCCCCAAAAGAAATGAAACCGTACTGAGCTCTCCCATTCGAAAAATGATGTTGCATATCCACTCAAAAGGACAGGACAACAATTTTCTGATCTTCCTGTGTGGACAACAATTTTCTGATCTTCCGGGTTATAAATGGATCTGGTGGTGTCCATTCCCATGATCATCCGCTCCAACCAAACTGATACATGATTACCAAACCATTAGTACCACAGTTGCAGAAAGACGTGCAGGCAGTTTACAAAAGAAAACATTTTCAGCAAAAAGCACAAACTTTTAAATCCTTGATTTCTCAGTGTGAGGCATCATGTTGTGTGCACAAAATTGGGTCAAACTGGAATCTAACAGATGAGATGATTGGGAAAATCACTGATAATGATAGTGGCCTCTAGCATATTATATGATTTCCATTTATCTCGTAATTTACAGCCACCAGTGGACCCATAGTAGTGTTGCCTCTACCAAACAGTTACACATATGTGTTGATGGCTCGCAACTTCACAAACATGGTAAATGTTCTGACACTAAACAATTCCATAAAGGATGCTCAAACTTAAGAGCAAGGAAGATGTTGCATGACCACATCATATTCCATATGTTCAACAATGGATGATAAGAACTAAGAAGCCAAATTTGTAAGCCAAGCTCATGATATGATACAATACAGAAAGTTGGAGCCTACATGTAGACTTGTAGTGGTGGGGCTCAGTAAATTCTAATATGCTATGCCGAATATGCTCTGGTGCCAAACGGGAGCTTAAAAAATGGATACCACTCCTGCAATATGGAGTATGCTCTGGTCATGCGTATATGTATCAAAACATCAGCATGATAGTAAGAGACTATGTATCAGTGCAACCTTAGCAACACATAACAGGAAGTTATTTGGAACTCGTATTTGAGACTGGTGCGAGAACCTGATCACAGCAGCTTTACTTTCATAGTGAAAGGTCCATAAAGTAAAGTAAAAAAAAAAGATTTTCTAAAAAAATGTAGCTGCAGTGTTCACATGAATTATTCTGCAGCAGAATGGATTGCACAAAATGAAGAGGAATAAGAAATTCCAATTTCTACTAGCTTTATGGAGGCAGAGAGCCAGGTAACAATGGACAGGGAACATGAAAGCAAGTTAAGCTTTTGATATTGATGTATAGGCTTTGCATATATGATATATATACACATTCTATCATCATCCAGTCCTAACAAAGGAGTGATCCAGGAATTTTAGTGTTTGTAAGTAGTGCATCTTGGTTTTCATGAAATTTCTAGTATTTATTTTACCAAGTATTTGCAGACCACAAATTGTTTTTTTTCTTCTCAAATACGCAGGAAAGCTACATGTCATTGCATTAAGAAGACGAGAACTTAAAGTACAACGCACCCAAAACACACACACACACACAGAGATGCAAGGATTACCACAAATCGTTTTGAATGTGCCAATATTTAATATTTATTATCTATGCAACTGCTTCAGAAGATTAAACAAACAACAAAATAGCCAGTTTGACAAAAAAAAACATGAGAAAGCAATGTTGGGGGCACCTAAAAATTCCTATGAAACTACACTCATTTAAATGCTATAATGAATTCATGGATGATCTACTGGTTAGTGGTTACTGGATCAAAAAAAATTGATACGATCATACGAGCTGAGCAATATAATTCAAGTGAAACTACCCACTTTAGACAAATACATGCTAAATTCCCTCAAAAAAAAAAATAAAAACTTTCCTTCCTAGATTTTATTGTATTCAGCATCACAATGAACATCTACTGGTATGTTTTTCCTTATAACTTGTCTTATACACATTCATGAAGAAACTAGTCTTGATAAGCTGTTACGGCGCGCCTTGCTGCGGAGAAAGTATGGAGGGTGTCATAGAATATATTCTAAACAGCAGCCGAGGGTTTGAATCTGACACAGAGATGACGATGAACAGTAACGCCTGAGGGCCCAGGGAGAATGAAAAAAGGATCCCCTTCATCTCACGGTTTAGAGCCTTATAGGCAGATTACAATCATAACCAATCTCAATTCTCCTCCTTAAAACTGCAAATAGTAAAGATTCCCTGAACTTAGCCACTATTGGCAGCATAGGTCCCAAGACAACAATGCATCTAACTATAATGGTGTCATAGAATATATTCTAAACAGAGTTTTGAATCTGCATACTGGAACCTTTGGGGAAAAAAGATTTTATTGTGCATCTATAATTCAAGTCCAATGAAGTAAGATATAGTGGCAGCAGCGCAAGACAAAATGATTAACAAGGAATGACGAACTGGTTCTCAGAAAAGATCACCATCGACATGGCAAATGCTGAAGCAAAGACAGTATTACGAACGACGGAGCGAGTAATGAAATCAGCATGACTATGAGAACACCTAAAATTATGCTTAACCCCGGATCATTCGACGCTTGGGCTTCTTGACAAAGCTCATTCTGAGCTTGTATAACCTCTTGCTCTTCAACCTCATCTTCTCCGGCAAAGTCAGCCTCTTCTTCACCTTCTTCTCCTTCTTTGCTTTGACATACCTTTTGTCAATATTATACTCTCCTTGTGCCACAGGTACACCACGTGCAACTGCCTCCCTGAACAGTGCATTGGAACGATCCCCTAAATTGTGCCTAGCCAGCTTCTCAATGAGCAAGCTATATGATTTTACTCCAGGAGCATGCCCATAACCCTTCATCATACGGAATACCTTGACAGCATGCTCAACCCTCTCAATTCCACATAAAATCTTGATGAATCCATAGTATGCCTTCCTATCAAGTTTATCTCCAAATCCTGCAGACCGCATCCACGTCATCATCTCATCCCCCTCTGAAGTCCGGGCAGCTTGGTACAAGCTCCTGATGAGGACCAAGTACATGTCAGCATCTGGTGAGCAGCCCCACTCACCCATACGCCGGAACAGATTCATGGCATCCTCTGTCTTGCGGATCTTGCAAAAATTTGTGATCAGAACCCGAAATGTCCCAGCATCACGGGGAATGCCATTGGCTTCCATGTCAACTAAGAACTTCTCCGCTTCCATAGGCATCCTCAGTGGGTCCTTCTTGCGACAGAGCCGGCAGACACAATCAAGAACAGCATTGTATGCAACCAATCCTGGCTGGAACCCACCCCTGCGTGTCTCACCAATCAACCTTAGCGCATGGTCGAGCTTACCAGCATTGGCATAGCCAGATACCAGCAAAGTGCAGATATTGTCATCTGGGAAGATCTCATTGGCGACCTTCTTGGCTGCACGCTCTGCGTGCGAGGGGAAGCCCTCGGCAGAAAGGGCGGAGACCAGCAAAGTAAGAGCCTCGCGGTTACGGAGCTGCTCCGGCAATTCGTCGAACACCTTGACAGCGTCCGTTGGGCGCCCGGCTCTGGCGAGCTGCTGGAGATAGGCATCGAGCGTGGCGGGCCCGAGAGCGGTGGGAAACTCCTGGATAAGCGCGCGCACGGCGGGGAAGTCGCGGCGACGAGCGAGGTGGCGAACGACGGGCGCGAGCGCGCCGTCGGAGGGGTGGAGCGAGCGGCGGCGGACGAGGAAGCGGAAGAGGTCGGCAGCGGCGCGGGAGGTGGCGGGCGGGGAGAGCTCGAGCGCCTCGGCGAGGAGCGCGTTGGTGGGGCGCACGTCGGAGAAGTGGAGGGAGAAGTAGGCGTCCGGGGTAGTGGCGGGCGGCGGGGTCGTGGAGAGCGCGGTGAGCGCCGACGCGAGGGAGGAGGCGAGGGAAGTGGCCGGGGTCGGGATCGGGGTGCTTGAGGTAGAGAGGTGTCGCAGGAAAGGCGAAGGGGGCGCGGAGGTGGCGCCCGTGGCCGGAGATGGGAATAGGCGGCGGAGGAGCTGGCGGCGCCACATTTTGGAGCAGCGGATATCGGGGGAGCGGAAAGGGTTTGGGGCACTTGGGATGTTCGGTTCTGCAGTCTCTGCTGCCGAGGTCTAAACGCGCCAAGGGTAATGTCGAGGGCCGATCTGAGATCGGACGGTCAGGATGGCTTCATGGAGAACTATCGTTAGTGATGAAGTTTTGCTGCCCTTCTAAAATGTGGGTCTACAATAACAATTAAATGTACTATTAACATAAGTTTAACGTGCTCTTCTAAAATGTGGGTCAACAATAACAAAAAAATGTACTATTAACATAAATTTAACCCTTTTTCAAGGGTAAGATATTTAGCTTCAATTTAATAAAAACTAATTCGATGTTGTGGATGTTGTTGTATTTTTCCAAATCTTAGTTAAAGTTGAAAAGGTTTAATTTATGACTAAACTAAAATAACCTATATTTCAAAACTTAGAAAATAGTAAATGGCTAAAAAGGTCATAAACTTAGTATAAAATGTCATTATAGTAATCAACTAGATTCCCATGTAGTGCATTCTTCCCTGTCGAGAGGGAACTCCAATTCCATCTTCATTAACAAAAAAAAAAGAACTTAAAGATCAACAACCATCACCGTCCCACCAACAGGTCATACCATAGTTCAATTGTATAGTGATTTTGTTCCAAAATCCTGGATGCTTTAACAAAATTATGTTTACACCAAACTTCTTTCACCAGCAAATCAGTATTACATTCGTATATAACTGAAACAATCAACAGATGCCTCCAGCATAAGAACAGAGAATGAATAGTTACTACAGACAATGTGTATCTTTCTCCTACCATTTACACATCGCTATGAGAAAAAAACAAGGGACGATATTTTGGGGAAATAAGGTCCTTCCATGGCCTATACTGCTATACATATAAAGAACAAAAATAAACATTTCATATGTTACACATGGTGATATTTCACAAGTAGTATTAGCAGATAACAACTTTCTTCAATTTGTATTTACTAGCAAAATACAGATACATAACAAAATTCACCAACGAGAGGGCTGTAAGACACCAGTAGTAGTAATCAAGGTGTCCCTTGTTCAGATCATCCGGTATCCATCCAGGGCTATGCCATACCCTGGTCACCCATGCAATGAGCGTGATGATAGCTGAGCTCAAGTAATTCCCAAGGGCAGTGGTGAGCAACGCGAATGCTGTTAATATGCTCTTCATGGAGTCTGGGGCCTGGCCATGGAAGAACTCCAGCTGAGTGATGACTGCGAAGCACTCAGCCCCAGCAATGACGAAGTACTGTGGAAGCTGCCATACAATGCTTAGCAGTTCCCCCTCCTGAACACTCTGCAGCCTCTTGGTTTCTAGAAGTGCGGCCATTGCCATGGCAAAGATCATCAGGAAACGACCGATTCCAATCCTCTGTAACTGTGTGAGCTCTGCTCCATTTGCAAAATACGTTCTGGTTGCCGGCACAAGCACTTTGTTCATAGAAAGTACCCAGAGCGTGACACATATCACTTCAAATGAGTACAAGGATGCTGGTGGAATGGACAGGGAACCAATCTTGGTGTTCATCACAGCTCCCTGCTGAATGAAAGTGGTGTGCATTTGAGAGATCGCAGCAGCAAAGAATATTCCAGTCACCCATATTGGGAGTAAGCGGATAAGTATTTTCAGTTCCTCAACTTCAGTAACCGTACATAAACTCCATGAGCTTCGACACCCTCCATACACCAAGCTTGGATCAGAAATAACTGCTGCCTTATCTAAGAACCTGAGACAAAATGATGGAATTAGATAGACAGTTAAATAAGTGCAGGATAGAAAGGGAAGTTGGGAACACCAACCAAATGAAAAGGTAATTCTCATTGGTTTTCATGTTTCAGGAACAGTTATTTATTACTAGGTTCAAATCATGGGATCCATGAGATAGATATATACATTTTGTAGATTGAACATCCTGAAAGTATATATATGATGGGTACTCCAGAAATCATTAAGAAATCAACAATTGACCATCAGTGGCATGATTGTTTCAAGAAGATTTAAAAAAATGGTCAGGAGAAACAGGAAAAAAAAGATATATACAAGTGTCTCATGGTAAGTAAAGAAAAAAGATGTACCTAAAATCATCGGAGTGAGCAAGTATTGTCCTTTGTATGTGGTTGCTCCTGACCTCATACAGAAGAGAGCTATCAGCAGGTACTTCCAAGGTCATGTTCCTAAAAGAGGCAACAATAACCTGGAAAATACTCTTCACTGGAGAACCACAAGGCTCATCTTGTTGGAATATTGGTGTTCCCACCAGAAATCCTATCAAAGCAAGACCTATGCATGTAGTGGCAACTCCATATCCTATAGCCCAGCTCACATTTTCCTGAACCCAAACTATAATTGTCCCAGAAGTAATCACACCAAAGATGACACATATATAGAATGAACTGAAGAAATTTCTTCTCCTTTTTATGTCTACTAAATTGTTCTCGTTGTTGAACTGGTTTGCACCAAATGGAAGCAATGCAGATCTTACTCCTCCACATCCAACAGCAGTGAGATACAAACCAGCAAAGAAAATCACGGTTTGAGTTCCATTTGATGACAAGCATGAGCTGGCGTCGCATAAGATTGAAGTAGAAGGCAGAAATGTTGCAACTGTAATCAGTACCATTCCCTGCAATCAGCAATGGCATTTTACTATACATATATAGAGAGAGAAACTTCGCATCCTTATCCAAAATAGTCTACCAAACCCGAAATGAAAAGAGCTGAATAAAAACGAGCAGCTGAGCAGGAAAAAATATCTTACAATTAGGTACATGATAAGGGAGATCAGGATGGTCTTATAATTTCCCAAGCAAGTATCTGCTATGGCAGCTCCAAGCATTGGCACAAAGAAGCTTGTCCCGTACCAAAGAGATACTGTTGATGCACTGGAAGAAATACCACCATGGAGGACTGAACGGAGATACACAACTAGGTTTGTGGCAATGCCATTAAAAGCCATGCTCTCCAAGCATTCCAATCCTGCAGGATTTGAACTGATTAACATCCTCCCGATCAAGGAATGCAGTCTCTTAGTCACAGAATCAAGAAGAATATCACCCCGAGAATTGATCAGTTAAACCATAAATAGGCTAATTATAGGAAATGTGGCTAGAATTGATAGGCTAACCATGGATCAGCTAACCATAGAAGAATATCAACTCACGTGTAGAGCACCTATCACTCTTTGTATACCAGTAGCCAGGAAAAAACAAACAAGCATCTCATAAGAAATCACACTAAAGAATGTAAAAGAGTGTTAGGTGCTCTATACACGAGTTGGTCATCAGACAGCTTCAAAGAACATATTGACACTGCACAGAACAAAAGCTAGACTTGGCACAGCATGACTCACCCAGGATGAGTGCCGGTGCTCTCCAGTCAGAGCATTTACTTTTCAGCTGTGGCCCTAGATTTGCTTCCAATAGACTCTGTGTTTCCTTGCCATGACATGATGCATCAGCCTGAAGGAAGGCCAGGTATTAACATATGAGAGACCATGATGTTTCTCACAGTAAACAAATTTTTGACAGTTTATCTGACAACTTTCTGTAATGAAGTCCAATCATCTAAGTTGTGCAGTCAATGTAAGCAAGAAATTTTGCAATCATTTCTCCTCATTTTCAGATCCCAAACTTACAAGCAACGACTTCCATGTATACTACACATCTGTGCATACTGCACGATCTACAGAATTCAACGTTTTTCCAACGACAGAGTAACACAAATAGAAATTCACGACACGAGAAATTCACTATGCATGCATGTCACGATCAGATGCCCGTCAGCTTGTTCAACAGTTCTATACTCATAGCCCCTTTGTGAAACTCAAAAATGAAACTTGGATATCCAAACCGCCTGTATTTTGCTCCTGGCGAACGTGATCCCCGAACCCAGCAAACAAACCATTCCGCGGCAAGCAAGCCAGAACTAGCTCCGATTCGGCGGAGGCTAATCGACAGCAGGTTCGCCGTACCTTGACCAGAAGACTCGTATGCTCGCCTCCCTCCTCCATGGCCGGCCGGCCTCCTGATCGGCTGCTGCTGATCCGAGCCCCTCGCCAACCCACGCCTCCGCCTCCGGCCTCCCCAATAAATAAATATTCAAAGGTGCGAGCGGCTGATCTGGTAGCCTACGAGGCGATGAGAAGGGTGGTTGGTGAGAATGCGACCGGTAAATCATCATGGCCTGGCAATCTGATAGCGGTGGCTCAGCTCCGCTCCCCGCGCGAGCCACGCCGGCGCGAAGGGATAGGAACGAGTGCGTGGGAACTTGCTTCGGCCAGATCGCGGCGACGGCGACGCGGAAGGGGGAAAGGGACGGGCCGCTGCGAGGTGGGACTGTGGGAGTGGGAGGGTGTGGCTGTTCAGCGACCGGACCGGTGGTGACCGCTGACCCTGCGTGTGGGACGGTGGTGTTCTTTCCAACTTATACAGTACCATGGTTTTCACTCCTGCTGCCACTGACAGTCTAGGGCATCTCCAATTCTTTTTAACCGATAACTTAGAAAAAAAAAGATCGTGTAAAATAGTCATACGAATCATTGGAAACGAGATTCAGCCGGTCGGTTCGGTTGGCTGGTTCGTATTGTTGTTGGTTTGTGAAGAAGTACTGTTGGCTGGTTTGTGTGAGAGAAAAATATTATTCCGACTGAAAATTTACGATCGTTTACGACAAGCCACAGCCAAACGAACAGGCTGATTAGCTCTGGATGAAAATGTAGCTAGTTGATTTTCATCTTCCTCTCTCCTTTCTGAGTAGATAGTTGTACTACCCGGCCATGTATCTCTAGGAGTGGCTGTAGTTGAGAAAAAAATCGCCGCTGCAAAGTGTGACAGGAATCTAGCTTGTTATCACTAATGTTTGTTGTGATTGCCTACACTTGTTTCTCAACCAAACGAGAGTTAAAAATTTTACAGTACGGCCACAATTGTGATGTGGCATTTTATGACCAGCAACTAAGCAGGCTCTAAAGCGGA